CCCCCCCTCAGTGATTGCATTATGAGAGGGGGAGAAGGTTCCTTAAAAAAATTGATGAACCAATTTGAAATGTGCACAGTGCACATCACAGCCCAAGTAGGAGCATTCTTTTAGGATGACAACATTGCCCTTGCATTCAGTAAAGGTGCGTTGTCACCCGAGGGCAGAAAGGGCCTAACTGCCCAGATCAAAAGATGAAAACTGCACTGCGGAGAAAAGCAAATATTGGTCAAGCGGTTCCTCGGGGAATGTGAAGATTTACGATTCAGCCCCTAAGTCTAGAGAGACATAAACACTTTGAGCTTGCGAACGGCACATTTATTTATCACTATCCTCTTCATCTAACCAAAAACGATGGACAGCTTTGGAGGAGAGACACATAAATTTGAGTCCAAAAAGAGGAATGTGTAAGAGCTGTTAACAGATCTCACATATCAATAAGGTGAAATCCCAGACAAAATGGGTTTTTCTTTGGATAGAGACATTAAACCCTCTGTCAGGTTTGTATTGCAGCTCTGTCTGGGAGATTTACTTCTCGTCCTGAAGGCAAATGTAATGCTTTTTAAGACCACAGAGGTACACTTCAAAATATCGGAGAATCAAGTTTTAATTAGGTCCCTTTTGCTGGGAAGCTTTGTGCTCTTATTAAGACTCTTCCACATCTCACTCAGGGGTGATTATTATTATGTTTATGACTCCATTAAGTCTCTTCTGCACCTCACTCATTGGTGATTATTATGTTTATGACAAGCTGATCAGGGCCAGTTATTAGGATGCATATAGACACTTTAAAGGGAACTTATTACAAATGTCGCCATATATTAAAAAAAACAGGTTGCACCCTCTGATGCCAGGACCTACTTTCCAACTGTTACGCCACATAATACGTTTTGGAAAGCATTGCAATTTACAGCAAAGCTGAATAGGGCCAGCAACTGGAAGTTTACTGCAGTTAGCAGCTTGTGGCAATGGAGGATAATATTTATCTATGGGCTGTATTAAAAATAAAGAAGAAAAATGATATTTATAACGCACAGTGGTGTGCTTTATAAATGTTCCGAGCTCAGCTCACACTGATCCCCCCTCTCAGCAGCTGAGTTCACCCTGATCCCCCTCTCAGCAGCTCTGCTCCCCCTCTCAACAGCTCAGCTCACCCTGATCCCTCTCTCAGCAGCTCAGCTCACCCTGATCCCCCCTCTCAGCAGATCAGCTCCCCCTGCTCCCCCTCTCAGCAGATCAGCTCCCCCTGCTCCTCCTTCTCAGCAGCTCAGCTCAGCCTGATCCCCCCTCTCAGCAGATCAGCTCCCCCTCTCAGCAGATCAGCTCCCCCTGCTCCTCCTTCTCAGCAGCTCAGCTCAGCCTGATCCCCCCTCTCAGCAGATCAGCTCCCCCTGCTCCCCCTCTCAGCAGATCAGCTCCCCCTGCTCCTCCTTCTCAGCAGCTCAGCTCACCCTGATCCCCACTCTCAGCAGATCAGTTCACCCTGCTCCCCCCTCTGAGCAGCTCAACTCCCTTTGCTCCCCCATCTCAGCAGCTCAGTTCACCCTGATCCCCTCTCTCAGCAGCTCAGTTCCCTTTGCTCCCCCATCTTTGGCAGGAACTTAGCAACTCAGCTCACCCTGCTCCCCCATCTTTGCAGTAACTTTGCAACTCAGCTCATCCTGCTCCCCCCTTCTAGCATTGACTCAGCAGCTTGTCTCACCCCTCTCAGCAGCTCAGCTCCCCCCTCTCAGCAGTAACTTAGCAGCTCCCCCTGCGACCCCCCTCCCAGCATTGATTCAGCAGCTCAGCTATCCCTGTAGTAACTCAAGAGCTCAGCTCACCCTGCTCCCTTCCCAAGCAGTGGTTCAGCAGCTTATGTCCCTCTTCTCAACAGCTGCTCAGCTCACCCCTCTCAGCAGTAACTCAGCAGCTCTGCTCGCCTTACTCCTCCCTCTCAGCAGCAGCACAGCTCCCCCTGCTCCCCCCTCCCAGCATTGACTTAGCAGCTCAGCTATCCCTGCAGTGACTCAGCAGCTCACCTCACCCTGCTTCCTCTCCAAGCAGTGGCTCAGCAACTTGGGTTCCTCTTCTCAACAGCTCACCTCCCCACTCCCAGCATGAATAAGCAGCTCAGTTACCCCTGCTGCT